CCTGAGAGCCCTGTCTCACCCACAGGGGGCTCCCTCAGCCCTGCGCTGGAATTGCTGCAATCCAGATCTTGAAGCTGGGAGAATGAAGCACCCTCGACAGTTTCCACCATCCCTGCACTTGCATGTTGGACGCCTGCATGTTGGTCAGAGCAGAGAGAAATCTGCTGTTGGCTGGTACACCCCTAAAATATGCCATGTCGATACCCTACCTATCCCCTAGGGCAACTAAGAAAGGGAGTCTTATGCCTACCTCTTCCTCTATACCCCTCCCCCACAGCCAGCATCTCCCACCCTACCCTGGCTGCCAGAGTGGAATCAGCAGAGCTGTTGATAGAAATTGTCTCTTCTGGGTATGTGCATGCTGCGCATCCGCATCCATAGTAGGTAAATCTCTGCTTTCCTGCAGACTCACCCACATCTAGAGTTCTTCCATTCCTGAAGCCTGAAATCTTCCTCAATGTCCTCAAAGCAACCCACTGTGGTTTACATAGGAAGAATTCCAGAGTGGAGGAGCCCTCTCCACTTACACGGTGGAACCACAGCTGGAGAAGTCTGGATGCAGAAGCAAACTCAGCGAGTACATTGCAGAGGATCACGATTTATCAAGCTCCCTGAGAACTTCGTTTAGGAAGTTTGCTGTCACCTGCCCTGGGCCTGCTCTGCCCAGGAGATAGAGCTGGGTAGGGACAGAGTGCAGCACTTGAGGGAGAGGCAGATAGCTGTGATTTGTGCTCACCTCCTTGTCCATTCTCCGCTGTCCCTGGGAAGAAGGAAAGAGTGCCTCCCCTCTTTGCTATCTGCCCTGGCTCTAGTCCTTCTGTCCCTTCCCCCAACCAACCCACTATCTCAGCCCTAGTTTTCTCTGGGGGCCTCCATGGAAACAGGTAGACAAGCAGATCTGTCCCCAGCTCTGGAAAAGATGCTCTGTCCCCCACCCTGACTGGAATGAAGACTTCTAGCTAGGGCATAGAGACACGTGTTTTAATTTTCTGCCAATGTGTATGCGCCAGAACTTTCTATCCCAGCAATGTGCCTGTGTTTGCTATGAATACAATTCTCTCATCAGCCCACTTATATTTGTAGATGTACACATTTTCCCTGTGCATACATACATATACATGATTGCATTCATGCTTGTGTGGATGCTGTGTATGTTGTGCCTGTATGTGTATTATAACTACCCACTTGATGATTCACTGAACCCTGGAATGACAGGAGGGCTTTGCCTCTCATTTGCTGGGCACTTTTGAGTGAGACCCTTTTCCTCTCTGGATTCCCCCACCTTCATTCCCCTGTCTGTAAAATTAAATCTTTTCAAGAATTTCCAGGGACAACTCCAAGAACAGGAGTACACTAAAAGATGATCAACACATTTAGGAAGGGCAGGGTAAGAATCATTAGAGTCTCCAGCTATTCCACTTCTCTAAGTTCTCACACATGGAGTCCAGAAGGGGAGGGAGATCAGAGGTCCCTGGTCTCCCAAGGATGGATGGGGCACTGCTGTGCCACCCCCTTAGGTGGGGAGACTAGCCTTCAATTTGAGCTCATTGTGGTGTCCACCTTAAATAGACCCAGACTACATGATAAAGCCAGGGGAAGATCACTAGATGGACAGTTTCCCTGCCTTCAGTCTTTTTCCCATATGCATAGCAGAAAAAGAAAATGAATTATGTTGCCTATATAAACAGATGAATGGCTTTTCCCCCAAAACACACAATGGATAAGCTATGCTGATCAAGGGGGGAAGTGATGACCACTCCAGAGAAGCCACAGCAAGCACCTGCATCCAGAAGAGGCTGGCCAGGCGCTCTCTAGCCCTCACCTTGGTTTGCAGTGCCTCTGGGAGTCAGCAGAAGCTCACCCTAGCCTCTCCAGCTGCCTTGTTGGCCTTTCTTTTTCCCCTTGAGGGCAGCAGAAAAGGGATGGAGTCCAAGACACTGTGGCCTCTCAGGTGGTTTCATCTCTGGAAGCCCTGGCACAGGTGATAGGTGGGAGTGTGGGGCCAAGGAGCAGGCAGACTGGCTACACTGTTGAGTCTTCTGAGCAGCCCCATCTAAGGGTCCTCTGACCTGGGCACACATACACACAGCCACAAACACTAAACAGTCACTTTCAGTCAAGGTCCCTGTGCTAAAAAAACACACTTCCATCTCCCAAGCCTAAATAAATAGATCAACACCACCTCTGAACAAACACCCAGACACAGCATGCTCTCTGAACACATAAGCACATACCTAAATGCTACAACATCCTCTTTCCACAACACTCTTACCTTCCCCTAACTCCGTCCACAGGCAGTGCCCTCCAACAAGGAAAAGGAGTTTTCCAGGAAGCAAACAGAGGCCTTTGCCCCTAGAAAGAGCCAGGGATCAATATTGTTTAGACTTGGCTAGCACGTATTTCCTTCTAGGCTAAGGAAGATTTAAGTTTATGGTTCAATCCAATCTTTAAGGGGGAAAAAAAAGGCAGAAAATGAGGAAGTTGTGATGGAATGTTCAAGTATTTATCTCCACGTAGTGCGATACACAGGCAGCTCACTAAGCCAGCGCCATAAATCAAAGAAATCAATGCCCTTTTATGATCATGATTACTTTTTTTTTTTAAAGAGGGCATATGCAAGAAAAAGGTCTGACCAGAGTCCTCTTCCCCTTTTCTCTGCCCAATCAGGAAGAGCAGATGTTTGAAAAAGGGAGGGACAGAAGATAGGAAAGTCCTTCAGGGGGTGACTTCAGGGCCTTAGGCAGATTCTTGTATATGTGACCTAAAGATGCACAAGTATGGAGGAGACAGGGACAAAATATTTAAGAACTCAGAGCTTCAGTTTCCTTTGCTGAACAATGAAGAAAATGCCCACAGCTATTGAAAGATAAATGGAAATAATGAGCAAGAAATCAAATTACTTAACAAATACTCTATGCCTACACTTTGGGGAAAGGTGACTACCACTCCTCACCTGTTGGCTTTGAGCCCTAGAAAGAAATGGAGAGGAGCCTAAAGGAATATTCTTCCTGGAGTTGCTGCTTACGGTTACCTCTGTTTAGCTCTGAATCTGATGGACTTGGAGATCTTAGCTATCCTAACTATCCCAAGGAGCCACAGTGGGAAAGGGAAGAGGAAAGGTAACCCAGTATACAAGCACTCAAAATGGTAAAGTGTCTATAAAGCTCAACACCGCACCTCATATCTGGATATGAATTAAGAGGAAAATAGGGCCAGGGCACTTACAGAGCAGCCAGATAAAAGGACAGATACACTGCGCCACAATAACCACATACTCTAACTTGAAGGGATGTGGGGCTTAAATAGATTCCTAGTCCCAGTCGCAAAGTAGAGCAAAGCATGCTTTCAAGCCACCTTTAAGGCCTGTATCATTTCATCTAACTCACAGGCTGGTTGTGCAGGCATTACTCAAAGAAACAATGGTGGGGTATAAGAAAGGGAATCACTGCAGTAAAGTTGGGGGTCCACAGCAATATCAAATGTACCCTTCAACTCCATCCCAGACCACTCAACTCCAAGTTTCCATACCGCTGTGTAGGGACTTGGAGGGACCCTTAGTTGCCTGGATTTGGGGGCTGGCACTGTCATTTTCCTAGCCAGGAGTATGTCATTAAGCTAACCCAAGGAAAATAACTGGCCATCCTCATTTTTCACAAAAACAACTAAAAGAAACTCGAGAGGTGCATAGATATCAGGTATTCCTATGCATGCACAAACCCCCAGAAACACACCTGCAAACATCTCAATGTGCAAACACAAATGAGTGCATAACACACTGTAAACTCACGAACATCCAATTATGGATCTAACCACAGAGAAATCAACACCCACATGCACAATATGCAAACATAAGATTACACACAAAACCAGTGGGAATTTAAATGCATCAATATCTGCACACTGTCACCTATGTATGTGTGGACACCCACCTGTCTAGCCACATTACATGCATGCAGGTACATGCATACATGCTGCACAAAACAGAAAAAAAAAACAGAAGAGCAGAAGATTATAGAATTTAAAAACTGGGCAAAAGGAAAAAAATGATATCTCCTAGCAAAGACCTCTCTTCTTCCCTCTAACTCTTAAATGTTGGTGGACACAGTGCTTGGTCTAGAAGATCTGCCCTCTGGGTCAATAGTAAGAATCCAAACATTTTCCTCTAGGAATCCAGGTGTCTTGCCAGTCCTAGGGAGTTATATATGCACCTTCCTCAGTGAGGCAGTAATGCAAGCTTTGTTGGGATGTTGAGGTTCAGCTTAAGCCCACCTTCTAGGGGTACAGGCCCAGAGCAAGACCAAGCAGTGGCTGCTCTGCACCACTAGCCTAGTATTCAAGCTTCTTCTTTATGGAGGGCCAAGCCAAGCAAGGCTTGTCGCGACACCCTTGATCCACTACCTGACAATGGCATCACTCCCCAAAATGAAGATCCTGTTAAGTTTAGGATGCAGAGACTGTTTGAAGACTCTCACCCTTGTGTTTCACACCCCACCCCCTATCTCTGTCAGTCCTGAGAAGGCCTTGTGTATTTGGAGAGAAGGCTCTAGCAAATCTCAAATCAGGAAAAAAGGAAAAAAAAAAAGGAAGGAAAGAGAAAGGAAGGAAAGTGAAAAGAAAAGAAGAGGTTCGGCAAGCACCAGGAACAAGTTGAATAGGTGGATGTGGAAGCCGGCCTGGGCCTGGCAGCGTGCTGTCAGCCACCGGCAACCCGTGCAGTTTCCAAAGCCAGGACTGGGCTTTTTGGTCTCTAGTTTCCCTTGAACACAATCGGAGACCAGGTGCATTTCCGCAGACCCTCCAGTCCAAGCCAAACCCAAATCTGAGCCTCCCCTGCCGCCAGGCTCCTCCTTTGACCCCCCGCAGCTGCTGTGCTGCCTGGCCCAGCCAGTCGGTGTGGCCCGGGGCTCTCAGCCTTGTGTGCAGCAGTGGGCTGGCTGCAGCGTGCCCAGGCCCACGCCTTTGCCTTTCCCGAGCTTGCAAGGAGGAGGCTGGCCAGCGGCTCGTGAGCACAGTGTACACTTTATTTCAGACTACAGGTTTCTGAACATAATAAAATCTTTGGCTTGTAGCGGCGGTTCAGTCTCGCAGTCTGTGGGGTCATATTTCTCAACGAGTCTCCGAAAACGAAAGGGGAGTAGGACAGACAGATGGATGGATACAGGGTTTCTGGGAGGTGGTGGGGAGGTGAAGGGCAGACACGCAAGGAAACACATTCACGCACACAAAGAAAAGTCCCAAAGAAACGAGGGCCAGTGTGGAGGAGGTGCATACTGGAGAAGCAAAAACATTCAAAAGAAAAGAAAAAAGGCAACCAAAACGAAACTGGGCTGGGGGCAGCCAGGCGGGGGACAGGGATAAAATAATTATAATAATTATAATAATTATAACAATAATAATAAAGGAGATTAATAAAAATGTCCAGCAAATAGAGATCGCTACACATACTTGTTTTCCTTACCTGAAATTAAATATATACAAGGTCGTAAGCGGTTTGGCTAGATACAGCTTTAAAGAGTTCGCAGTTTCATTCCCTTATAGTGTGAATAGAGAATAGACCATATTTTTCGATAGCACCTGTCCGAGACTTTCTCCCTTTTTCAAAACCATTTCGTTCCAACTCGACTGTCCATTCTGAGGATCGCTGTTTCGCTGTGTCTGTCTTCCGGCTGGTTCCCTCCCTCCAGGCTGGGCCAGAGGCGCCGGCAGCGATGCAGGAGGGCCCGGCAGCCGCAGTTACTCGCTCTCGTCTTTGTCCTGGACCGTGGTGGTAGAGTGGTTATACAGTCCCTGGGCCATGAGGTGTAGCGCCAAGCCGTTCTTAATGCCCGTGGCTTTCTTGATCTTGGCTCGCTTGTTCTGGAACCAGATCTTGATCTGGGACTCGTTGAGGCTGAGCTCCTGGGCCAGGGTCTGTCGCCGTTGTTCGGTGATGTAGCGGTTGGCTTGGAACTCTGCCTTGAGTCTCTGCAGCTGCTCCGCGGTAAACGCCGTCCGTGGCCGCTTGTCCTCCTTCTCGTTCTTTTTCTTCTTCAGCTTCCTAGTGCGGGGACCTGCAGCGGGGTACAGGGCCAGGTGGGGGTGGGGACGGAGGGCAGAGGGGAGGGGGTGAGAGGGCAGAGGAGAGGAAGCCATGAGAATAACCTGCCCAGCCAAGACAGGTCAAGGGCCGCTTCGGGGGAGATCGCAGAGGCCCTGCGGAGCCTTCAACTCCTTCTTGCCAGTCAAGCAAGCCCTGGACCAAAGAGCCCCTCCATGGGTCAGGATGGCTGGGGTCTCCCTGGTTACCTTCTGGGGGGTGTCAACGGAGCAGCGAGAAAACTGGCAGGGATTGTAGGTGCACCCCACACTCTGATCCTCTAATCGCAACAAGAGAGACTAGGTCAGATTTACTGCATGGCACTTCTTGCCACGAAGATGAGAATTCAAGATGGACAGATATTTGGCGCCCCCCATTTGGCCTAGCCCAGAGTTGGGGGTCAGAGGTCTGCTGTCTTCACAGCTCTGAAATAAAAAGGACTAGGACTAGGAGGGCAGCCCCTGAGAGGATGCCCATTGCACGACTAACCACACACACCCACACACACACACATTATTTCTCCAGAAGCTACCTACACTGGACACGTAGAACCTTTTCTACTTGCAGCCACTGAGCTCAGAGGACAAGAGGCAGGAAAGAGGCTTTGAGAAGGCTGCCCAGCTCCAAAGAATTTGGTCTGCTTTCTCTTTCTACTCTTCTTTCTCTTTGGCCTAGAAGAAGCTCTTTCTAAGAGCCTGAGGAAGATACTAACTGCTCCTCTCCTGAAGAACAAGCCCTTACCCAGCTGCAGGCCTATCCCAAGAGCTTGGTCTTGGGGTGTCCCTCTTTGCCTCTTAGATGGTGTCAACAGAAAAAGGGCCTTCCCCATTCCTCCACCCAGCTGTATAGGCAGGTCCCCCCTTATTTTTTCCTTAAACATACATGCTGGAATTTCAGAATAGAAACTTCTGAATAATAGAAACAAGCCAGACTGACATTCTCTGCTCTCCCACGACATCTGAAAGATGACTACATCCCCTTTCCCATCCATGAGCAAAACAGGGGCAGAGGGATAGTGCTGTGACCCCAAGAAGTACAGGGAAGAAGCCACAGGAAGGTTCTCCAAGAAGGTGAAGTCTTCTACAAATGCTAGTCCACTATGGGATTCAGCCCTGGAGAAAAAGGGCTAGAAACAAACCAGCAGAGTATGCAACTTCCTGTCTATGTCTTGAAATCCCAAAGCTGTCTCTCTACGGACAGATCCCCTAGCTTTGACTTTCTGGGCCCTGTCTTATTTAAGAGAGTTTATTGTGTTACGTCCCTGTCCAGACTTTCTAAAACTGTCTGGAACGAAGGCTGTTTATAGGCATCCCCAAACCTAGCATTAGAGGGGTAAGCTGGGCAGGAGGCTCCTGGGGGCAGGCCAAACCCTGGGGTCACCAGCTGTTTAGGTCTTGTAGACTACAGTGACTTGCAGGTCTCCATCGTAGTGCATACCAGGGCAATCTCTATCCAGGAGTAAGAACTGGTACCCTGCCTCTCCCGGCCCATTTGAAGGAGAGAAGCCTGAAACAAAGACAAGGCCTGCTCCACAGCGTATCTGAGGTTTAGATTAGTAATTAGCTGTGCAACAGAGATGGGTCAAGAAATGTTCCCATTTCCAGAAAGGCCCCACTGTGAATTGTGCGTCTGGGGCACGTTAGAGTGTGTGTGTTTGTGCGCACATGTGTGTATATCTGTGTGCAGAGGCATGGGCACTTGTAATAAAATCGTAGCCTCCTGGCCAGCCTGAGCCATGCAGCCTGACAGCTCAATCACTCTACCCATCAGGCGAGTCAATCAAAGCAGCTTTTCGGAGGTTCAGGAAGCCCAAAGTGTCAATAACAGGGCTGGAGATGGTGGGGGCTGATAGTATGCATCGATCTGCACCTAGTCAGTTGCAGTACGGCAGCAGAGACTAGCCAGAGGAGAGTGGCTGTGTGTGGCTGTGGCTGGCTTCCTGTCTTGGGCAAAAGCCCTACTGTCCCCACTAGCTTGCCAGGCGGACAGGTCCATACATTCAGCAGGCCTCATCCTCCTCTCTCTGGGCCCACTGGCTGTCCCAGATTAGGTAAAGGCCTTGAGTTTGCCAAGCACAAGGAGTACATGAACAAGAGTGGAAGGCAAGCCAAGAAAAACTAGCCTGCCCTTGCAGAAATCTACTAACTGGCAAACGTGCAGAAAAAGGAGTCGAAGGAAAACGCAGGGCCCAGAATGTAGGACCCATGCAGGGGAGAAGCTACAGAGGAAGCTGGCTTTCCTGCCCTTGACCCTGCTTTTCTGCCTGGCTCTGTTGGCTCTCTCCTCTCTCACTGACTGCCAGCTTGAGAATCAAGGGCCCCGGGCCTTCATCTAGCTGGCAACTGCTTTTCTCTGGATACTGCCCACCTGGCCAAATTGTCTCGCTACTCTGCTAGGAGAGGAGGCTATAGATCAATGGCTTCCCTCTTCCCGTGTGTTTTCATGTCTGTCTCTATCTATGCAAACAGACTTGCCACAGAAAATATAGAGATATTGTTTGTGTCTGTAAGAACACGAAACAAAGATTATTTCTCAGGTCAAGCCTTCCCTGCTCAATGCCAGCCTCCTCTGTAGGACCAGCCTGGTGTGGTTTCAGAGCTGAATCACTAAGCCTATCTTCCAACCAGCTCTAAACAAAATCCCTTTCCCTGGACAAAAACTCAATGACTGATGGCATACACTTCCTAAGAATAAAAACGTAAATCACAAAGCCGCAGGGCTAAGACTTCAAAAATTGTAAGAATTAAGGTTGCAGCCTCTGGTGGCCAGAGGTGTGTTTCCCCGTGATGGCCGACGGTGGCCAACACCAGGTTCGCAGAAATGGGGTGCACATTCGGTGATGCCTGAAACCAGGGATGAGGAGGAGGAGGGAGGCGTGAGAGATGCGAGCTACTGAAACTGGCTTTGCTGTCCCCACTGTGGCGGTTTGGACTTCTAGGGGCCTCTACCAAGCGGAAAGGCATAGGAAGCCTATGCCTAGGCACTCACCGGAGGACGGGCGATCCGAGTAACGCGTGCAGTAGACCCAGGCGGGCCAGACGAGGGGCTGCTGCGAGTCAGTTTTAACCACGGGCCCGCCGTTGGCCGAGCCCATGAGCAGGATGGCTGGGTTGCCGTGCTCCGGGTACTTGGCTCCCTGTGCTGCCGGGCTCCCCGCGCTGCCTCCACTGCCGCCGCCGCTGTCCGAGGGCTTAGCCGCTGCCGCCGCCGCCGCCGCCGCCACGGCCGCCGCTGCTGCCGCCGCCGCCGCTGCAGCCGGGTTTCCGGATTTGGACGCGCCCGCGCCAGCGGCGGTGGCCGGCTGGGAGCCGTCGGGTGGGCCACAGTTCGCGTCCGGGGCGCACAGGAGCGCACCAGCGCCCGGCGCCCGCGTACCCAGCGAGTGGACTGGGTCTCTACCTGTGCCAGTCTGGCCTCTGTCACGCTCGGCCCGGCCTCCTCCTCCTGCGCCTCCTCCAGCCGCCGCCGCCACCAGGAGCTGCGGCGGCGGCTGTTCTTTTTTGCAGCCGAAATCCGGCCTCAGGATGTTGTCGATGAAAAAGTTGGTAGTGCGGTGCAGCTGGGCCGCGGGCTGCGGCTGGTGAGCAGGCGCCGCGAGATGCTGCGGCGGCGGCGGGGGCGGGGGGTGCGGGGGGAGGTGCGGGTGGTGGGCCAGGGGCGGCAGGCAGGGCGCCGCGGGCGGCGAGGGGGGCGCGGGCTGCGGGGACACGGGCACGCTGTCTCCATCGCTCCCGCTGCTGCCGCTGGCGCCGGGACTGAGGCTCAGGCTGAGGCCACCCGGGGCCGCCGCCGCCGCCGCCGCCGCCGCCGCCGCACCGAGGCCCGAGTCGCGCTGACTTTTAGGTTCCGGCTGCTGTTCTTCCATGCTCGGCCGCCCCGCCGCCCCGGCCGCCGCGCCGGCCCCCGCCCCCCCGCCTCACTCCCCACCCCACTTTGCCAGCGGCCCGTGGGGGTGCGCGGAGGAAGGAGGCAGGCGAAGCCTCGGAAGGCACGGGGCGGGTGCAGGAAAAAAAAAGCCCAGGCGTCTGGCCTGGATCGCTGGCTCTTATCGAGCAGATAGATCTCGCTGTCTCGCCCTCTCTCTAATTTGTAGACATCCAGATAGGGAGACACTTGGCTATTCCTTTTCTTTCTGCAACCAGATTCAATGATTTGTTTGAAGAGGGGAGTGAGCTACAGCCAAAAAAGAGAAGAAAAAAAAAAAGAAAAAAGAAAAAAAAGAAATGAAGAAAAAAGCTTCAAGAATGTCTTTTTCTTAAGGGAAAAAATGGTCTTTAAAGTCTAGCCATCTTCCTAGGCTGTAGTGTGGGGTTTGACTTCCCCGAGTGTTACGCTCAGCTGTGCCCAGAGTGCGAGGCTGGCAGCGCCTTTAATCGCCTTTGCTTTTTTTGCAGGGAGAGCGCGTCTCCGCCAGCGCCGGGCTGCCTTTTTTTTTTTTTTTTTTTTTTTTTTTTTTTTTTTCCTCTCAAATCTCTGACAGCTCGGATCTTTGCACAAACTCTCTCGTTTAAAAAAAAATCACCCAGGCACACTTTTTGCCTTCAAACCGGAAGCACGTGAGTCAGGGCCGCACGTGTGCGGGGCCAATGGCGAACCGCGACTCACGCTGACACTCGGGGCTCGGCCCAATGGGCGCGCGCGGGACTTTGCAGATAAATAATCCGGGGGCGATGGCCGCGGGCGGAGAGGGGGTGCCTAAGCTTGGGCCTGGTGTGTCCGGCCCGCCCTCCCCCACCCACAGACACGCCCCTCCCGGTCTTTAAGGCTGGGACTGAGGAGGGGGCCGAAGAGATCCGGGAGGGGCGGATTTCGGGGTGTAGGCAAATAGAGAAGCAACTCCATAAACAACTTGTTGGAGAAATACTGGATTAAGGGTGCATGAGCGCTGGGCACGGGGTCAGAAGGCAGAGGACTGGGTTCTGCATGCCCACACCTAAGGAAGTTAGCCTTTTATTCTCATCGTTGCTGTCACATTTATGAAAAGTGAAAGTTTGTTGTCGTTATTGGGGTGTGTGTATGTGGTTTGTGGGAGGGGGATCAGGAATTGGTGATGGGACATAGATGCAGAGTTGTCTACTTTTGGAAACAGTTTATTTTTCACAAAGAGCAAACCTGGAGTCCTGCTGCGCATAGCTAGCACTGCTGGTTTGTAAGTCTCTGGCCACATATACAGTGCTTGCCTTTTTAGGGGTGGGATCCGCAGCCATACGCGCCCAGTTTGGTCCTTTGACCAAAAGAAATGCCTTGGTGCCCTTCAGCCAGGCCCGGAAAGCACAGATGAGCAATAGCTCTTGCTGCCTGTTCCCTCCCAGGCTGGAGGGGCAGCTGGAGTTATACCAGCCGGTTGAGCTGGGCCAGGAGGGCCAAGCTAGTCAGAATACAGATGCTCACGAGGCCTTGGTTTTGAGTTAAGGACATCCCGTGCTAAATTTCCCTGCAAAGTAAAATCAAACAAAAGCACCGCGTCTCAAGTGTTTTCCCTGGACAGGGGACAGTGTGGACAATGTGTCTCCCCCAGTTTGGGAGGGGGCAGTAACGGAATCTTTTGGGATTACTCCCAGCATTCTGGCTCCCGTAGGCTCTAACTTCCAGAATTCTCTACACCTTTTGGGGGGACGACGATGCGGCTAGCCTTTCCCAAGCTTCTATCTGTTGGGCTTTTCTCCTGTTTTCTGATCAAGGAACCCAGAAGTTTCCCGTGGCCAGGGATGCAGAGGGATTTGCCTGTGGAGATGTTTTGGAGGGCCAACTTTGGTTAAAACCAGTGTCAGCTAGGCACCACAAACAGGCCGTTGCAGGAACATCGTGGACCAGGGGCACATACTTTTCCTGATCCTCATTCCCTTGCTGGGACATCGGAGAAAGAATCTCTTCTGAAATATTGTACGTTTAGAACATGAGAAATAATCCCTCCACCCGTTTTCAAAAATAAAATAAAATAGGTTAGAAGGAACATATAACCAAAACCACAACAAGCTGAACTACTCGGCAGGTGGTGAGTGGAGACCCGCTCACTGCATCTTTGGGTAAGGCGAAGGTTCCCAGATTTCCAGAGCCGAGTTCCAGACCAGATCTGCGCAGCGGCCTGGTGTGAACCGCTGCCCGGAGCGCTGCGCTGAACTGGCCGGCCGCGGGCTCAACTTTCTCAAGCCGTCACTAACCCAACCTTGGAAACCTCCTATGTGTGCTTCTGTCCCACACCCAAGGGTTCCCCAAAATCTCCAGGTGTCCCTACTACTCCTTGAAATGGGGGTGGGTTTTTATTTATATTTAAGTTCGCAAAATTGAAATCTTTATCCCGCAAGCGAGCGTGGTACTTAATTAAATTCTAATTAGGACACTATCAATATCCTATTTAGCCGCGTAGCTTTTGTGCGCTGCGGTCCCTTTCAGCGCCGTAAATAGGGTCTCGACGCCTTATCTCGCCTGCAGGAGACGCCTCGAGAAGGGCTGCGGAAGATAATTTATAGGTTTTAATTACTCTTCATTCCGCCTGATCAGCTTGGCGTTCATCACAGGCCTGTGAATAAAACCCTGGTCAAAAGCTCTGTCACATCGCGCTGGCAAGACGCTTAATCAAAGTGAGCGGCCCCGCGCGCCGCTCGGCCCGGCTCCTCCACGTAATTTCCAGCCAGCTGATAAAGCCAGCTGAATAATGCGGCGGCCCTTTGGAGACACCATTTACAGAAATGACTTTATTGACGGCTTAACGTCGGTAATTCATTTTACCTTTCATGTAGTGGAGCCCGGATTTGTTACAGTAATGGGATGATAAATGCACCCGCGGCCCACGAGCTCGGCTGGATTAGGCGGCGCTGCGCGCGCGCGCTCCCGCTCAGCCCCCCACCTTCCCGCAGTCCCAGCCGGGGCCGAGGCTCTGAACCGCGCGCTGCACGCACGACCCCCCACCCAGGCCCTGTTCCTTCCTCTCCTTCATGAAACTGAACAAACTCTCGGACACTGTCTGTGAGTGCGTAGGCATCCTAGCTAGTCTTCGAGCGAGGTGTGTGCGGCTGGCTGAGCAAAGGGTGGTAGAGACTGATGCATGAGGGATGCAGAGGACTCTGAGCCACAGCTGCCTGTGTAGTTGAGAAACTGCTGGCAGGGCGATTCTCTGTTACAAGTATGTGCATAAAGGGCGTTGGCGGGTGTGGAGGGATACACTGGTGCCGGCACCCTTTCTAGGCACTCTTCTGTCCTTGGAAGCTAAGGAATCTCTTCCCACTTGATTAGATGCGCAGGCCAGGATGGTAGAGAAGTGAGCCTCAGGAAGCAGGTGAAGGAATCTGTCCCCAAATGGAATACAGCCCTGTTCTCCAAATGTCATCTGTTCCTGGGCTAAAGGTGTGGAAGGTGAGTGGCAGTATCCAATTCCATGGCCTTGCAGTTCTTAGGAGAGCAGTAACCTGCAAAGGAGGCCCCGTGGAACACCAGACAGGACCATGCCATGTCTCTTCAATAGTTTGGCTATCCCCAAGCTCCCTTTCCATATCCAGCTCAAACAAAAGTAGAAAACGACGTGAAGGGGGGGGGTTTTGTTTTGCTCCCAGTGTTAAAGAAAGATGGGGAGCCCTTGAAATCTCTACCCAAAGAAAGAAGGGGACCAAAGAAGCTTTTAATGGTGGGAAGTAAAGAGGTTACAGAGAAGTGACCCCCACCTTCTGCCTCTCCTATCCCGGGACTTCTGTTCTTTGAGGTTAAGCAGGAGCTTCCAGTCAAGAAAAGATATCCAATACGTTGTCACTGTGCAACAGTGCATATATATTCCAGAGAAGTTTGAGGATCTTGTAATAGGAAGACTAGTGCATTTTCTAAGCAGAAAACTGACAAATTATACCTTTTTCCTGCTCTTTCCCAATCTTGCCAAAACCACTTATCCATGCTGGTGAGTGACTTGTGGCTGTGGAACCAGGAGCTTGCACTGGTATCTGTTCGCTTGTGTAGGTGAGCAACACAGAGCATCCTGTGTGTGCACACGAGCATGCACACCCGAGTCAGCCCTATCAGTGGGCAGGAGAAATGTATTGTTAAGTTTTGTTGTGCGCTGTTCAGAAAAAGGGACTCTCCCACCACCGTTTCCACCAAATTTTGAATTTCCTTTAGGCAGAGACAAACGCCTGGATTCTCTCTCTGCATTGCTCTCTCCTTAGAAGACAGGATAATTGTAAAAGAAAACCTTGTAGCCTGGCCAGACAAGCGCGCGCTGGGCCGGGTCTAGGAGCAGGAGCGTGTTGCATGCACACGGTGGTAATCGCATTTCGAGTGTAGATCAGATGGCAGTGGGGCCTTGTGGTGCGGGACATGAATGAGTTGTCGCAACACAATAGCATGCAGCCTTCCTACGGGGACTGGGTGACCAGCGGTTTTGTTGGGAGTGAATGCGAGGAGATTTCTGCTACAAGTGCGGCGGTATTATTATGAGCCAGAAGGTCAGACTATACATCGCAGGTCCCCAAAGCCTATAGACCTTGGGAAATGTGGGGCCTCGAGCCACGTCATTATACCTGACAGTCTTTTCAATAGACTAATTCAATTAACGCTGGGGGTTTTGGTCTTCATTTGGAGGCAGTAACTGTGTGTGTGTGGGGGGGGGGGTGCTGGGTATTCCTTAGATATTAGGGATCCTGAGCAATTCTGCCTAAACTCAAGGTGGGAATGGGGGAAGACTCTGAAGGAAAAAATGCCGGTGTAGGGAGGGAGATGTGAGAGGCAAACCTGAGGAAAAATATCGCTGGGGAGTCCAGAAACTGGGGTGGCAGCTTTGTTTGCAGGAGCCCCAGAAGAGCCCTGGGCATAGGGAGGGGTGCCCAGAGAAAATTCCTTGCCTTGCTTCCTTCTTTTTTTCTTTTATTTCTCTGTGTGTATGAAATACACCCATAAATGTCGGGGCTCCTGCGAAGCGCCAGAGAAAGCCTGCTGTGGGTGGTCACATGGAGGAATTTCAGTCTTTAGATTTGGGTCTCCACAATCCGATCTTCCCACTTTTCTTCCTCTCACCCGAAAGATCGTTCCCAGCATGACCTTTTTGTTCTAACCTAGCCACCACCACCACCAGGGCGCCAAACTGAGACCTTTCTCCTTGACTGAGAGATGGAGAAATTTTTTTCCTGATTTATGTAATTTGATTAGAAAGGGGTTCTCCCTGCTCGGCGTCCCTGAGCCGTAAAGAGTTGCTCCGGTCGGTGCAGAGGGCACCAGGGTAAAAACCCCGTCCTGGTGGCTGTTCCTGGGTTTCTTAGGAAATTCGAGCTTCAAGGGATGGAGCAGGGGCGAAGTGTAGGACTCCTGGCTCGGATTACCAGTTGTAGAGTCCCCATCACCCCCCCCCCTCCCAGTAACCCTAAACTGGGTTGAGCATTTCCAGCCAGGCCCCCTGGATCTAAGGGTTTTAGAGCTCGAGGTCCGAAAGCCCGGAGACTCCACACATTTCTCAGCATATCCCGAGTTTTTCTTTAATCGCCAAACCTCACTCAGACCCT